AGAGAGATTGCTAGGATTTAGACTCAAAATCGACGAAGGAGAAGACATGAGAGGAAATTCTGTGAAAAGGGGGAAAACAATGAAACCTTAAAAAGAAGAGATTGTATTTGGTTTTGTGGTTTTCTTTATTTATTATTATGTTTTTTTTTAATTCTGATATCTTAATTTTTTTTTTTTGTAAGGAAAATGGTGGAGAAATTTTTTTTTGTAAGGAACTTTTTTTGTAGGAGCAGCAGATTGAAGGAGAGATTGCTAGGATTTAAACTCAAAATAGTCTTTTTACCCAAAATTTGAGTTAGTCTAGTTATACATTAGCAATGAGAGTCATTAGCGTTATTTTTTGCTATGTTTTGAGTCAATCTCGGTAAATTTCATTAAGTTTAATTGTTAATTTATTTGAATTTTTGTTTATAAATCTGAAAACCAAACAAACAACCTTTTTCTCTTTAGTCAAAAACGAGTTTCAGAAATCTTTAGAGTATCTTTAGTCCTTGTTGATCGACCATGTATATACTACCTTTCGGTTAAGTGTATCGGGTAATTACTCGAGCAATCAGTTATATTGTCCGAGTGCAAAAATATAATTTTGGTCTTATTATCAATGTATCTTTACTTTTTTTAGCTTTTTGGGCTTTGAATTATTTTCTTTAAATAAAAAATGTTGATCCTTAATTCATACCTAGCTAGGCCCACTCCACTTGGTTTTGCCTGAACAGTAGCATAATATTTAATAGACATGGCTAATAACTACAAATATTGTTTAATGATATTTACCTAAATATATAGAAACTATTATTGATGAACACCAAATAGTTACTAAATTCCATAAAAAGACGCAATATATTAAATCTATTTGAAAATACATGAAAAGAAAGTTCCACCTTGTATGAATACACAAACTAACTTAATGACATGGATATAGGTCAACAAGGAGAAAAATAAGGTCAGGAAATTAATAAATTTTTTGAATTACTTTGATTAGAGGGTTTCTAAGTAATCCGAATTATATAGAAATAATTTATTAGCACCTATTCAACAATGCAACTGCTTTAGAACATAATTTATGTTTGTAGAGAGAGAGAGACTAATAACGAAACTATGTTTGTAAAGTAAGAAAACATCAACTAAAATATTTTAACATAAGAGATTAAGAGTATGTACGAATTTAGATGTATAAAGAATATTAAAGAAGAAGAATAAATCTCAAAACTATTAGATCTAGATCCAGATATATATAATGAATATATTTTGTTGTTTTTAGATACCAAACCTCTACACTATCTAAAGAGTAATATTAATTTTCAATTCATTCCTATTCTATATATATGATATCGGAGCAAAATGTACCTAAACGTAAAATCATCTAGCCAACTCTTCTTCAATTTTAAATATATCTTTCTGTTTCTCACATTTCTTTTATGTTTTTGCGTTCTATTTCCTTCTCTTTGTCTCTCTCGGCTCTCATTCTCCAGTGATTATGTTGACTTTTGAGAACTCTTCTTTTCGCAGCACCATTACACCCTTTCAAAACTATGATGTTCAATCTCCAACTATCTTATGTGGAATCGTTTAGTGCATTCTTTCCTTGATGGGTAGGTCTTGGCTTCCTATTTTGATGGAACTAAAACCAGATTCCACTCAGTCACTACATTTCGTACCATGAGTCATAATCTAGAATTACCTTATGTAAGCCATAATATATAAGTTGAATTAAGTTATATATATATATCCGTGTTATATTATTCATTCAAATTCATGATTCTGGTGCATCTAGTGTTTTAGATGTGTGGTTCACTCTTGCCTCAACATTTGTGAAACCATATATATGTCATATAAAACAGCTGAAGCAATAATGAAACAAATGATCGAAAATTATTAATGAGTACTTTCAAGGATTATCATCCATATTTGATCAACTAACTCCGTTTAGCAAATTGATTGATCATGAAGATCAAGTTGAATATATATTTAAAGACCTTTTAAAAGATTACAAATCGATGATCGATCAAATCGGTGATACACCACCAACTCTCATGGAGATTTATGAGAAACTCCTCAATTATGAAGCTAAATTGCTTTCTTCGGCTCATGTTTCTTCTCTTCATATCTCATTAACATTCTTAGAACAATTTAAAATCTAATAACCAACAATGTAATCCTTTGATGCCGATTATGCAGTATACAAGGTCACTCGGCTAAGAGATGCTCTTAATTAGTTGTAGTCTGCTTCACAACACTCACAAAGACCATTGCTACTTACTTTACATCGCCCACCAACTCCTTGATTACCTCGTGAAAATATCATCATTGTAGCAGGTCATAATCTCTGAATTTTAGACATCTAGAGTGACACAACATGTCACATATGACTTAGTCAACCTCTCATTGCATCAACCCTAAAAAAGGGTAGGGGTTCTTATAGGAAACGAAAAATGGTTTTCCTATAGCGCACACGTGTTTGGCATCTCTACCTCCTAACTCTAAACTGATATCTCTCACTAATAATCTTCACGTTCCAGATATTAGCATTGTCATTGATATCAGCTTGGAACATTAACATACTACAATCACACGACTTCAATGCCTAATTGTAAGAAATCTAAAATCTTAAAAAAATATGAAACAAAAAGCCCTAACGTAATAAATGGGAGTGATGCCGACGTTCTTATAGGAAACGAAAAATGGTTTTCCTATAGCGCACACGTGTTTGGCATCTCTACCTCCTAACTCTAAACTGATATCTCTCACTAATAATCTTCACGTTCCAGATATTAGCATTGTCATTGATATCAGCTTGGAACATTAACATACTACAATCACACGACTTCAATGCCTAATTGTAAGAAATCTAAAATCTTAAAAAAATATGAAACAAAAAGCCCTAACGTAATAAATTGGAGTGATGCCGACGTTACGAGGGGCATTGTTAAATCTCATGAGATATTTCAATAGAAAAATATGAAAGATATATCTCTCATCCACATCCAAAGTCTCTCTCTCTCTCTCTCTCTCTCTCTCTCTCTCTCTCTCTCTCTCTCTCTCTCTCTCTCTCTCTCTCTCTCTCTCTCCCTCTCTCTCCCTCCCTCCCTCTCTCTCGCTCTCGCCAAAATAAATAATCCATATTAGCATATAATGACCGTAACGGAAAAACATCCGGGGGCGTTGGAATCTTAGATAAAGCCCATGTTTGGCGTGCAGGTGGACATTCGAAAAGGACATGATTAATTATCTCTTCGGAATACCCACATCTATCACAACCTATATCGCAATTAACCCCACGTTTCCGAAGATTTGATGTAACATAAACACACCCAGTTAATACTTGCCACATAAAATACCTCAATTTCGGAGGGCATTTTATCTTCCATGTAAAAGCCTTTAAAGGTTTAATATCTGGTCCAAAAACACCTGCATTAGAATCTTTTGTATTTTCAAGTCTAGCTGTATGATAACCTGATTTAACCGTGTATGTACCAGACTTTGTGAAATGTCATCCCATAACATCTGGGTTTGAAAGCTTTCCCAAGGGAAGAGCATAAATCAGCTGAACATCCTCCGGATCAACGATTGCAGTATATACTTTACAAAAACACTTTACAAATTTTTATTAAAATTTAAATATAATTAATATTTTGCAGTATTTTTTATGATTGGTTGATTTTTTAAAAATAAAAATGAAAAATGATTTTTTTCTAAAAATTAATTTTTAATATGCACATTTTTAGAAAACAAATTTTTTAAAAAAAATTGAACAAATAGAGTATTATCACACGAGCAGTAAATTAGCCGTTAACGAGATCTAACGTTAAAAAGACATAATGTATTGTAGCACATCCATCGACATGGGATCGAAGTAAAAATATATGATGGTCTTTTTCAGTTAAATAAGTTGATATTGGTTATTTACTTTATGTGACGATATATTGACTAAAACTAGGTTAAATATGTATTATTTTGTTTAATTAATTTATTTTAAGATATTTTAATTAAAAACAAAAAAAAATTTTAACTGTTTTGGATTTCTTATAAATAGACTTTTGTGTGTACTATATTTTTTTGTTGATTTAAGACTTTTTTTATAAATTATTTATATGAGTGCATAAAAGAAAATATTTTATCAAAAAAAAAATGACTATCTTTGTTTTTTTTTTTTCTTTTTCAGATATGACTATCTTTGTATAGTTAGTCAAACCACTCACATTAATTGTAGCTGTCTTTTTAGAGAAAGATATTTTGTATTATAAAATGCTGAGTAAAACAGATTTTAAATTTTTAATAACCACATAAAACCTAATAATTATACCAATATATTTTATATTTTATAATTATTTAAGTAATTTTTCTACTAAAAACGGAAATTGACATTTATGGCATGTAGTGTGGAAATTAATTTTACTGTTAATAATGAGTCATGAAAAAAGTGTGAACTTTGGTTTTTGGTCAACAATGTGACTCAGATTTACATCAGCAAAGCTATAGGAAAAAAACAAAAAATCAAAGTTAATATATGTGTCCATGGACAAAGGTATACTTTTTCTTATATGTTTCATCTTTTCTCTATAGACTGTTTTTTTTTTGGTGTAAGTGTTCTTATCAACTAGACTCTTTGTGATTAAGGTTAAGAGTTTTCTACATTTAGATAATCTTTTATACAGTATTTTCTATTCAATTTCAAGATAAGTGTTAGATAAAAGGCATGGATTTGATGAGTTTATTGCTTTTACTCGTTTACATTTTTAGTGAGATCTCAAATTTCTTCCTTCAACTAGGACACTAATTAACATAACGAACGAATTAATTCACTAATATATATATATATATATATATATATAGTTTACATATATAATATATATATACATATAGTTCTGATTGGGAAATTCACGATTTGAGTTTTCATATTTACCTCATTAGAACACTGTTGGTTATTTTCGATAGCTCATTATATCGTTAGACAACTATGATTTTAATATAAAGAGTTTAATTATGTCTTTTTATGCATTGCAGATTTTCTACCTATAGTAATATGGAGGGATCATCGAGAAAGGCTACTAGTAAAAAGAAATCAGATCTACCAAACTATATCATTGGTAAAACACTTGGGCATGGATCCTTTGCAAAAGTGAAATTAGCGGTGCATGTAGCTACTGGGCAAAACGTTGCTATCAAAATCTTTGATCGTCTTAAGATTAAGAAAATGGACGTAGACATCAAAGGTATGTAATATATTTTTTTATTTTTAGTAAAATTATAAATTTGTTCAATGATTTTATGCTCATGATACTAAAAATATTTTCTGGTATGCATTGCGAGCTAATATTTATATTAAACCTTGAAAAGCAGACACCAAATATTTTTGCTAAATATTTTTTATATAAATAAATACTCTTTTGTAAGAATCCACTCAAGACATAGGTCTCAAAGTGAAAATATTACTTATTAATGCCAATCATCGTCATGAATTATTTTTCCTTTAGGACAAAAATTTACTTCTTGTCATTTGGAATAAGTTCGAAGAGGGGAATATGTATGTATATATATATTCTTACATATTTTTCTTCATAAACAATCAATTATTTATACTTCGAATAATATAAATAGCTTTTTGTATGGAGTATATATATATATGCTATAATTTTTACATATTCAATTTGAAAAACCGACAAAACATATTTATATCACGTGTGCTATTTATATAAAATACGTTCACTGAAATCTAGGTCTCAAAGGAACTAGTATTTATTAATATCGATCATTGTCATAAGTTAATATTTTGTCGTTTGAACTAAGTTTGGCGGAGAGGTAAAACGATACTATCATTGTTATTATAATAAATATAAGAAATGGTTTTTTTTTTTGTTTCTTCTAGTGCAAAGGGAGATCAAATTCTCAGATTGTTGATGCATCCTCATATCATCCGTCAATATGAAGTTATAGAGACGCCTGATAACATTTATGTTGTGATGGAATATGTTAAGTCTGGAGAATTATTTGATTACATTGTAAAAAACGGTAGATTACAAGAAGACAAGGCTCGTCATCTTTTTCAACAGGTTTGATATAAATTTTCTTTCAAACCGCTCATAAAAAATCATATCTTCTTTAACATTTTTAATAAAATTGTATATACTCAGCTCATATCTGGTGTGGAGTATTGTCATCACAATAGAATTGTTCATAGAGATCTTAAGCCAGAGAATGTACTTTTGGATTCAAAATGCAACATAAAAATTGTTGACTTTGGATTGAGTAATGTCATGCAAGATGGTCACTTCTTTAAAACAAGTTGTGGAAGCCCTAATTATGCTGCTCCAGAGGTATACTAATTTGGAAAAATCAACATATCTATCATTCTTGTTCATTAACTTGGGTATCTATTTTAAGTTTCCATTAATCATACCAAAAATTGTTATCTAGGTTGTTTCAGGAAAACATTATTCTGGACCAGAAGTAGATATTTGGAGTTGCGGAGTGATATTATATGCTCTCTTATGTGGTACTCTTCCTTTCAGCGACGAAAATATGCCTAGTCTATTCGATAAAATAAAGGTATTAATAGACAATGATATGTTTATAAAATTCTGTTAAATATGCTTTGTAGTCTGGTAATTATGTTTTTTTTTTTGTGTTTAGAGAGGAATATATATTCTTCCAGATCATTTATCACCTCTTGCTAGAGATTTGATATCGAGGATGCTAATGGTGGATCCTCTGATGAGAATTAGCATTGCTGAGATTCGTCATCATCATTGGTTCAATAATGATCTTCCTCCTTATCTTACTATTCATCCATTAGATACTATAGAACAAGCTAAAAAGGTTAGAAATCTTTTAGTATCATCAAGTAAACTAACATCATGTGTATGAATTTTATTAAGTTTCGAATTAATATTTATTTCCAGATTGATGAGGAGATCATTCAAAAAGTAGTTAACATAGGATTTGATAGATACCAAGTTGTTGCATCTCTTGTCAATAGAGTCCAAAATGAGGTATGAGTGTTTCCATATCATAATTACATTTATACTCTAATATTTTCAAAAATGATTACTAAAGTTTCAATTTGACATTGTTTTAGGCTACCGTTGCATACCATCTACTATTGGACGACCAAAATCGAAAGTGTGTTCCTAATGACCATTCTCAATCCAAGTTTAAAGAGATATCGGTATTTACTCTCTTTCTCTACAATATAAATGCTAAATCAAAATAAAAATGCCAAAAAGACATGCAATAATTTGACAAGAAAATGTATGCTATGTGAATTTATTTTTATTCCCACATTCATGATAAATAATATACTAGTACTCATTCACAAGTTTTACGTTTAGAAAATTTTATTCTTCTATTTTATTGTTAAAAATAATGCACTAGTTTTCACGTGTAAGAAAATTAACTTCTCTATATAAAATACATATTTAAATTATGATTAAAAAACAAATTAAAATTAGTTATTCAATAGAATTAGTCTATTAGCATTTCATGGTTATTTAACAAAATCTTTATTCTAACGAAAATATTTTCTTGTTAATGTTATAAATATAGGATGGCATTCATATGAGATTTCATTCACCCCCAAAAGATGGTATATTTAATTCGATACTTCCAATTGATCAAGGGATTGCTTCAAATGTTGGACATCCGTTTCCTGCATTGACTGGACTAAGATCACACTTCCAAGATAATAGAAGTTGGACCCTTGGACTTCGGGTTAGTGTATGATTTGTCGAATCTTTTTTAGCTCTAGTTTTATTTTCTTCGAATACTAGTCAAAACATATTATTTAAAATAGATCATCTTGATATTTTTACAGTCTCAAGGGAGGCCTTGTGAAATCATGAGTGAAGTTTTTAAGGCTCTTCAAAATCTAAAAATATGCTGGAAAAAGATTGGACTCTACAATATAAAATGCAAATGGGTTCGAAGCTTTGCAAACTACAAGAATCAAAATCAAAGGAATATTGTCCTCAAAGATGAATCTAACATGATTGAGGATAAATGTTCTATGGTCTTACCAACTGTCATCAAATTTGAACTTCAGGTATATATTTTTCAATTTAAGTATAATATACTAGAATTAATAGTTCATAGGAAAAACAAATCTTATTATAATTAAAAATAATTTGTATCATTTTTTTTTGTTACAGCTATACAAAGTAAGTGAGGGCAAGTACTTGCTGGACATCCAGAGAGTTGATGGACCTCAGTTTATCTTCTTAGATCTATGTGCTGATTTTCTCACAGAGCTAGGTGTGCTCTAATGCTCAATCATCAAGGTTTTTCAAATGATTGTTGTTTCAATGTTTAGAATGCGTTCATATTTGCTAGATTTGATCTATTTTTGGATTAAGTTATCTTTTTTTGTAGATGAACTTCAGTTTTTTTCTTTGTCATTATAAAAAAAAAAAAAGATAATTTGTATTGTTTATTTGCATTAATTTTTGCAAAATGCATTTTATCTTTAAACAAATATTTTCTTGATATTGTATTTGGTCACGAAAAATCTCTCGATTTATAGCGGCAATGTCAACAAAATATAATATTTAAGTGCCATATATCGATGACTAATAATTATGAATCTTCTTATAAACATTTCTTACCGTATATATAGTCTTTAACAAAAATGGAAAATTTATATCTAGTTTTTTTTTTCTAAAAAAAGACTATTTTGAATTATTTTAAACTTAGGTTTTTAGAGGAAAGTTTTGAATTATTATTTTTTGTTTGTCAAAGAAACTTTTTTGAATTATTATTAGAACAATAATAAAATATATTTTCTATTTATTTTTGTGCATGAAAAATCATATATACAATGAGGTTGTCTTACATATCTTTTTGTCAGTATGTCATTAGTTTGTGTTGGACTATACAATTTCGGTTTGTGTGTCTGACTCAAAAACACTCGAGTATCGTCAGAAGTAACGTCAACAGATAATTAAATCCCAGAAAGTATCTTTAAAAAATGGTAACGTACGTTTTTTATATATGTAAACAACTTATGTTTCGTTTCGTTACATTTTATGTGAATGGTAACGTACGTTAATTCTTCTATTTTTTTAATTACAAAGAAAACTAAACCGTAACATTAGATTTTTGTCTTCATCGGAAGAAAAAAATTAGCTTTTGTGAATTAAAAAATGAACTTTTGACGGAGAAAAAGAAGAGAAAAAAGTTAATGAACTTTGACGAAATCAAAATCATTTTTATGGGCATATATCTTTTATAAATGGGCCTGTATCTATCCATTTAAAGGCCCAAATATTTCATATACATCCGACAAATATTTTGGAGAAAAGTACCTTTTAGCAAATTATTCTATTTTTTCAAACTAGTCCCTCAAGTTTTAATTATTTAGTGAAAGAAACACTAAAAAGACTTCAACAGTGTAGTCAACTTAAAGACCAATGTCTCTCTCTCACATCGTCTTCTTCGTTAGTGATTTCCTCATTTTTCTTCCACAATTTAATTCCGATCGAGTTCTGCTTTGATGGGTAATTGAAAAGTTTGATACTTGTTTACGTTAAAGCGATCTGATTCAAACCCCAAAAGCTGCGTTTTTGATCTTCATAGTATGAATCAGGTAAAACCTTTTTCAGCTTTATCAAATTTCTGTGTTTAGCTTTAGTGATTTTGTTGCCGATTTCATTTGTGTTAGATGAGTAAGAACGACGATTTAGGGTTGGAATCATTTGGTGCTTGCTTGCTTCTGTCTCTTCCAGAAGATGTAATTGCTGTTATAGCTCGTTTTGTATCTCCAAGAGACATTTGTAATCTAAGCTTATGCTGCAAAAGTCTCTGTGAGGTTTTTGATTCAGAAAGGATATGGCTTGTGCAATGTGAAGTAGTAAAGGTTCTTCCTTTATTTGAAATGATCCAATGGCGAATCGGGGTCTCTTCTTATAAGGCGCTTTGTCGGTTTCTTGGAGAGGTAATGAAGCCTCTTGTTGGTGTTTGGGTTCACCAAAACCCTGAGCTTGGGAATGTTGTTTATGTAATGCCTGGTTTTTTATCCGTTGTTGGGTGTCGGGTAATTCCACAAGAGGTTGGTCCTTTGGGGATTGAGGAGGCTCGAGTTATGTGGTCACCTGTGTTTGAGATCATCTGCGGTTTTGATGGCTCCGCCAAGTTTTTCCTCCATGGAAGAGACGGAAAACTACATTGCTGCCTGCACCCTGGTTTTGTTATGGGCATTGAGAAGAGTTGTAATGTGCTTTTACTTGAGGTTGAGACGAGGCGAGAGAAGGAGTTGTGCAGTGAGATTGAGACTGTGTTGTTGGGAGAGACAGGGGTTCAGTTACCATTTCGCAAACTACCCTTTAGTTATAGAAGGAATTTACTTCACATAGTGACAAGCACTGTTGGTATACCTGTACCTGATCTATCAAGTGAAAGGTTATTTCCCACTTCGAAAGATGATGAAGCGGTGTTGTTGGAACGCAGAACCATGCTAATTAAAATGCACAAGTTTGGTGGTGATTGGAATCACATGAACCTGGAGGATGAGTGTATAAATATTCCAAATCAGGTAGACATAAACGAATCGTGGAAGCATCTTGGATTTGAAGTCGATAATCGCAACATGGACGCTGGGAATCAGACACAAAGGAAGAGCTTTAGTAGGTATTTCAGAAGTGGCATAAAGCATATTCTCGGGAGGTCTAGTTCTTTAAAGAACACGTCTTCTTCAAGAAGTGAGACTAGACCTTGGAATCTCCAAAAATTTCTTAATTTTGGTGATTCCATAGGTCTTAGTCTCAAAACGTCCAATATTAAGCTGTCTTCTTACCAAGGTTGGCCAAACATGGACGAAACCCGTTATGCCCTTTATAAGCTACCGATTAAGAATCCCATCGCTAGCGAAGAGTATGCTGGCTTGTGGGGAGGAACTTTTGGCTGGCCACCAGGAAAATGTACAGAAGATAAACCCGGGAAGGCTCTTTTTTTACTGATGCTCTCTTATGAAGAATCTCAAGATGGTACTGAGAGACTTCTTATAGGGACGAAAATACTCGAAGGAACTCACTATGCGATGCATCCTAATGGATCTGCAATGTTTGTTATAAAGATTGATTCACCTTCCTTTGAGCATTTTCCTTTCGATGCAAATGGAGAAGATTTTGAGCATTCTTACGCAGGAGAAGGTACTGCAAAGGGTTATGGTTTCCGGTATCCTGGTTACAAACCGGGTACACTTTTCGTGACATCTAAAGGTCTTCTCATGTTTGTTTGGAAAGCAACTAAAGTTGTGTTGACATTGCAAAGACTTGACCTTGGAGAGCTCTTAAGGAAAGGCGTGTGTGTATCGCCTTTACCTCCATGTTTGAATTTTGCTTATTTGACAAAATCTCACACCAATGTGTTTGCCCCTGAACGAAGAAGACCATAGGAGATTCCTGCAACAGATTTGAAGCTCACAAGTCCTCTCTGTTTCCAATATAATAATCTCATTATCGGAGATCACTGATATTTACACTCAATATGCTACGTGTGTCTCTATAGTTACTAAATATAAAACATATATTGCTAAAGGAACTACATTGGTGTACTTTTTACTGTTTGGATTTAGTATCAAAACTACATTGATGTGTTGGAACTATTACACAAACTACATATATTTGTTGGACTATTACACAAACTCAAAATATTGATCAAGTGTAAATGTGTTGCAAAGTAAAATAAACCATACAAGGATAAATGAATTCCACAAATTTCGTTGTTTTTATTGTTGCAATTTGGTAAAAAAACACATTACAAGCATAGTGAGCGTAAAAGTAAGAAGTAAATGATGCCACAACACAACGGTCAATTATTATCTCAAGAACTAGATATGGGAGAGCTTTAAATCTGTTGCAGTGTTCCATTCCCAACATTGATGTGTTTCCTCCTACGATATTCTTTACTCGGAGGAAGACGAATAGGTCGATGACTTGGTAAACACGTTTGTGTAAGACCTTTCTGTATATGTAAAATTCATAGTTGGAGGCAAAGGCGGAACGCAAGAACCTAAACCCTTCTTCAAGATCTCTGCAAGGTTTACTCTTTGCAATGTAATCACATCTTTGGTCTCTTGCCAAACGAATGCAAGAAGATCATTAGAGATCACGAAAAGGGAACCAGGTTTTGAACCGGGATAGCGGAATCCATAACCGTCTGCGATACCCTCTCCCATGTAAGATTGCTCGAAATATCTTCCATCGGTATCAAATGGAAAGGGCTCAAGGGAAGGCGTGTCAATATTTGCAACAAACATTGAGGATCCATTGGGACGCTCAGCAAAACCATTGCCTTCGAGTATTTTTGTCCCGAAAAGAACTCTCTCACTACCATCTTCAGATTCTCCATAAGTGAGCATTAGTAAGAAAAGAGCCTTACCTTCAATATATTTACCAGGTGGCCAGCCAAACGTTCCTCCCCACAAACCGGCATACTCTTGATTATCGACGGGATTCTTCATTGGTAGTTTATAAAGGGAAAAGCTGTTTGCGCACATGATTGGCCACCCTTCATAAGAATCCAGCTCAGTGCATGAAGCTTTGAGACTAAGGCCGAATGTATCACCAGAGCTAAGAAAGCTTTGGCGAATCTCACTGCTCGAAGGCGGCTTGATCTTTGAAGAACTGGACTTCCCAAGAATATGTTTGATGCCACTTCTAAGAAACCTGCTAAAGCTCTTCTTCTTTGGTGTAACCTCTCTCTGATCCTCTATATCCTCCATGTCGTCAATGTCATCACCGAGATTTTCCGACAGTTTGTTTATGTGTATCTGTATATGATTGTAACACAACTGCTCATTCTCCTCCAATTTCAAGTGCTTCGAGTTTCCACCAAATTTGAGTATTTTAAGGAGCATGGTTCTGCGTTCCAACATCATCGCGTCATCATCTTTGGACCTGGTGGGAAATAACATTCCTCTTAATGGTTCACCGACTCGTACACTTACATGGTTTGTTACTATATCAAGTAAGCTCCTTCTATCACTAAAGGCTAGATTTCCAAATGGAACCCCTCCCTCGTTTATTTTACCCGATAACTCTTTTCTTGAGTCTTCTCTCTCAATCTCAATCGGCTCAACTTCGAGTAGAAGCTCATTGCAACTCTTCTCGATGCCCATAACGAAACCGGGGTACAAGCAACTGCCTTCTTTGTCTCTTCCATGGAGGAAAAACCCGGTAGAGCCATCAGAACCGCATATTATCTCAAACACTGGTGACCACACAAGTTGTCCTTCTTGAAACCACAAAGGACCAACTTTTTGTGGAATTATCCGGCATCCAACAACAGACAAGAAACCAGGCATGACATAAACGACATTCCCAAGTTCAGGGTTCTCTTGAACCCAAATCCCAACAAGAGGCTTCACCACCTCTACAAGGAACCTACAAAGCACCTTGTAAGAAGAGATCCCGATTCGCCATTGCACTATTTCAATCAAAGGAATAACCTTTACGACTTCACATTGCACAAGCCATGTCTTCTCGGAATCGACAAGGGCACAAATACTTTTGCCGCACAAGATTAGATTGCAAATGTCGCTTGGAGAAAGAAAACGTGAGATAACAGCAAACACATCTTGGGGAAGCGTAAGAAGCAAGCAAGCATCAAACGATTCCTTGTTCATCATGTACTAAAAAGTCCAATGCGCAATAAAACCACCAAAATAACAAAAATAATTGAAAGTACTTAAAGATCAAATTTAAGAGTAAACTAGCAACGGCCTTACCAAATTCAGACTTTGAAACAAGAAACACAGCCTTTGGGATTCTGGTTTAGGGTTGAATCAGATAGCAAAAGAATCCATCAATATGGTAACGAGGTTATAGAGTTTTCTTGAAGATCATAAAGGATCTTAAAGCAGAACAAGATGGGTTTTAGATTACACAAGGAAAAAGTTGAAATCTTCAACATAACAAGAAAGGCGACATGTGAGGAATTCTTCCGTAAGTGGATTATTTTCCTGAAATGTTTTAAATTTTTGGAGGCGACTAAGTGTTTAAAAATTGTTTAACCACTTAATTAAATGTAGTTTCTCAAGTGGTTTTAAAATTTAAAACTACAATACATAGAATTTCTCAAGTTGTTTCAAATTATGATAGTGGGAGATTTATATAGTGTTTAATACTCCCTCCGTATTTTAATAAGTGTCGTTTTAGGATTTTCTTTTTTTTTAAAATTAGATGTCGTTTTCAAATTTCTATGCAAAATTTCTTACTTTTTAATGTTTTATGATGTCATAAAACATTAAAAAGTAATAAATTTTGCATAGAAATTTGAAAACGACATCCAATTCAAAAAAGTAAAAATTCTAAAACGACACTTATTAAAATACGGAGGGAGTAATTTTCTAAAATTGAATAGGATATTGAACGGGTTTTAATTATCATTGATCATGGTTTTGACAGGTCTAAGTTTTATTAGTTTTGAAAGGAGTTTTAGAGCTTTTCTTTACCTCGAGAGCTAGTCTCGACCACTTTCTAATAAAGATTTCGGCTCTCTCACTTTTCACAATCAAAGAGCTCATTTAAACCACAGATAACGATGTAGACCTTTTATTTCTTTCATGCTCCAATTTAAACCTTTTTAACTAGTAAAATTTTATAGTTTTTTATGGCGAGCGATGATTCTCTGGAAATTCCTATAACTAATGGCTTTACCCTCACAAGAAAGATCCACGGTAGATGAGAACACGACAAACGGCTCTACATACACTACACTACAGATTTCTGATAAAATTATCTTCAATAATCTATAATAATTTGCAATTTCAAACTCCATACCAAATGTATACTACTCCTTTTCCCACCACATTTTTCGTTTTTTTTTTTTTGTTTCTAACAAAGACTTGTATATATTTGACTGATTTGAGCATCAATATGTATTCTGAAAATAACCCCACCCACACCATTCTACCTTTCCCGGACTTCCGCAAGTGTTTTTTTTTGTGTTGCAATGAACCCATACAACAACAAAGTATACCCTATATATATATACTAAATAATTTGTGTTGCGTGTGTGGTAAGCTATTACATAATATTGTTGTGCAATTGTAACGGAAAAATTTAAACATAAAAAGTATACTATTTGTAGCTATAAATTTTAAGAATTTAAAATATAAGATTGACCATATGTTGGTTCTAAAATTAGAGTGTTGTCCTAAATTTGTTGAAAATCACATTCAAAACCATTAAACAATATTTCAAATATCTTACTAAAGTATGGTTTTCAAAGTTAGTAACTCACATGATCGTAAAACGTGTCAAACCTATCGATTTGTGATTTTGCCATGTATCAAATACATACTTTCTTTAAAAAATTTAAAAAGAAAAGATGTTTAGAAGAAAATTATAATTTAAACAGTTTTAATAGTAAAAAGATAATTATAAGGAAATTGTACATATATTTCAATAAGAGATTTTCCATGTGGCAAACAAAAATTTGTACTTACTTAGAAAAAAATAAAATTTTGTATTTAACAACTTAAAAATTGTAATCTCATCGGAGAACACATCGAATCTCACATGGAAAAACTCACACAAAAACCTAAAAATCTTTTTTTAGATGAACTACGAATGCCTTGATCCCTTTACAAAGATACGTAGGCAACTTGTGCAGCTATAACATAAACTAAATCCCAACTCGACATCTTTCTTTCATCGTTGAGATCGAACCTTGTTGAAATTCTCCTCAAAACGCTTTGATTTATCACCCGGTTTACTTTTGTGGGGGTTCTATTCACGCACTATGTTCAAGTAGATATATAAACATATTTTCCTTGTCTAGCTGATTTTGTTTTAGTGTGATATGGACTCTCCATTCGTATGTTGTCTAAACTCTCAAGGATTGGATTACTCATAATAAAAAGAAGAAAGAAAGATCGAAGAATTCCACAAGTTTTTTTTTTTTTTTTTTTTTTTTTTTTTTTTGCAATACAATGTTTTTTTTATCAAAGCAATGCATTGTTTATACACACGTTAATTAATTACAAGCATAGTGATTGTCAATGTAAAATGTAAATGATGTCGCAATACATTCAAAATATTATCAGAATCCAAAAGATTAGATATCTGTCGATGACTCAGTAAACACGTTTCCGAAGGACCTTTTCATATAAGTAAAATTAAAATTATTCGTAGGAGATAAAGGCGGCACGCAAGAACCTAAACCCTTCTTCAAGATCTCTGCAAGGTTTAGTCTTTGCAATGTAATCACATTTTTGGTTTCTTGCCAAACGAAAGCAAGAAGATCGCTAGAGATCACGAAAAGCGAACCAGGTTTTGAACCCGGATAGCGGAATCCGTAACCATCTGCGATACCGTCTCCCATGTAAGAATCCTCAATGTCCCTTCCAACTGCATCAAAAGGAAAGGGCTCAAGGGAAGGTCTATCAATCTTTACAACAAACATTGCGGATCCATTGGGACGCCTCACAAGGCGCCCTTCGAGTATTTTCGTCCCAATGAGAACTCTCTCACTATTCTCCTCAGATTCTTTATAAGTGAGCATCAGTAAGAATAGAGCCTTTCTGGACTTATCTTCTCGACATTGCCCAGGTGGCCAGCCAAACGTTCCTCCCCACAAACCGGCATACTCTTGATTATTGATGGGATTCTTCATTGGTAGTTTATGAAGGGAAAAGCGGTTTTGGGACATGATTGGCCACCGTTGGTAAGAAGACATCTCAGTGTAGGAAGCTTTGAGACTAAGGCTGAATGTATCACCAGAGCTAAGAAAGGTTTGGCGATTCGAACGTCTAATCTCACTGCTCGAAGGCCGCGGCGTGTTCTCTTCAGGACTAGACTTCCCAAGAATATGCATGATGCCACTTATGAAAAACATGCTAAAGCTCTTCTTCCTTGGTGTAGCCTCTCTCTGATACTCTCTATCATCCATGATGTCAGTGTTATCACCGAGATTTTCCCATATCTCATTTATGTCTACCTGCATAGGATTATAATATAGCTGATCATCCTCCTCCAAATTCATGTGCTTCCAGTTCCCACCAAATTTGAGCATTTTAAGGAGCATGGTTCTGCGTTCCAACATCATCGCTTCGTCATCATCTTTCGACCTGGTGGGAAATAACTTTCCTCTTAATGGTTCACCGACACGTAGACTTACATGGTTTGCCACTATATCAAGTAAGCTCCTTCTATCACTAAAGCCTAGATTTCCAAATGGAACCCCTCCCTCATTTATTTTCCCCGATAACTCTTTTCTTGAGTCTTCTCTCTCAATCTCATTAGACGAACTCTTCTCTCGCCTCGGCTCAACTTCGAGTAGAAGCTCATTGCAACTCTTCTCGATGCCCATAACGAAACCAGGGTACAAGCAACTGCCTTCTTTGTCTCTTCCATGGAGAAAAAAACCGCTAGAACCATCAAAACGGCAGATTATCTCAAACACCGGTGACCACACAAGTTGTCCTTCTTGAATCCACAAAGGACCAACTTCTTGCGGAATTATCCGGCACCCAACAACAGACAAGAAACCAGGCATCATATAAACGACATTCCCTTGTTCAGGGTTCTTTTGAACCCAAATCCCAACAAGAGGTTTCACCACCTCTACCACCTCTACAAGGAACCTACAAAGCGCCTTGTAAGAAGAGATCCCGATTCGCCATTGGACTATTTCAAACAAAGGAATAACCTTTGCGACTTCACATTGCACAAGCCATGTCTGCTCCGAATCAACAAGGGCACAAATACTTTTGCCGCACATGATCAGATTGCAAATGTCGCTTGGAGAAAGAAAACGTGAGATAACAGCAAAGACATCTTCGGGAAGTATAAGAAGCAAGCAAGCACCAAACGATTCCTTGTTCATCATGTACTAAAAAGTCCAATGCACAATAAAACCAACAAAATAACAAAAGTAATATATACTATTAACTGGGAATCACTAGATATAAAATAACCTTATGAAGGGTAAAATATTACATAAAATGCCATTAGTTTTTAGTGTTTTTAAATAAATTCATTAATGTTATAATAGTAATCACAAAATTAATATATTTAAATAAAATATAGTAAAATTCTTTTAAGTAACTATTAGTTTCCAAAAATTAAACTCACTTTCTCTCTCTTATTATTTATGGACGAAAATTTAAAATTATTTTCTAAAAATTTGTTAACCAATGAGAATTGAAAAACTAAGATTTTATATCCAACTAAGATTTTATCTAAACTAATCCTAATAGACTATTCTATATCAAAAATAAAAATAATATCATTTTAATTCAAAATTAAAAACGCTATCGTTTAAAATTTTCTATCAATGGAGGATTTTAAGATTGAATTTGAAATTTCGTAAAAAAAATAAATAAAAATATTTTAAGATTCAGTTTTGTTATAATATTTTCGCAAATTTTGAACTATAAAACAAAATTTTATTTCACAATTCTAAAAGATGATATTTGATATTAACAAATATTTATACTTATTATGAAATAAACTCAAATAATAATAAATTTAAAGTAATTATCATTATGGTCTTCGTTTAGAACAAGTTTCGGAAATATCTAAACAATAGATTGTACATATTAATTTTGAAATATTTTGTGTTTTATTTTTTTCCTTCTTAACCGGATCTTTCTTAAATAAATCCATAATATATTGCACACAGTTTTTGAAATAATGTAAACTAATTATATATTTGCATTCAAAACAAATTATGCAGCAATAATGACTTTGATGTCAATTTATTTGGTTTTCATTTTTTTGTAAGATTCCAGTTTCCTATTAATAAAGGTTCCAGTTTCCTGTTAATAAAGATTTATTTTTAAATAATTTCAATTTTTTAATTCTACAATTTTCTTTGTATATATTATAATAATATATACACCACAATATATATCACTAAAACAAAACAAACCAAAAAACTATATTGAATATAAATTTTATACAACACATTTTTTAACATATGTAACTCCGCACATACGTGCGGGTCGGGATCTAGTTATGATTAAACTAGCAACGGCCTTACCAAATTCAGACTTTGAAAACAAGAATCGAACGGTAAAGAAGTTATAGAGTTTTCTTGAAGATCTTAAAGCAGAACACGATGGGTTATAGATTACACAAGGAAAAAGTCTAAATCTTTAACATAACAAGAAAGGGAAGAATGCGACATGTGAGGAATTCTTCCGTAAGTGGATTTTTTCCTGAAACATTAAATTTCTGGAGGCGACTAAGTGTTTAATAATTGTTTAACCACTTAATTAAATGTAGTTTCTCAAGTGGTTTTAAAATTTTAAACTACAATACATGGAATTTCTCAAGTTGTTTCAAAATTATGATACGTAGTGGGAGTTTTATGTAGTATTTAATAATGGGAGATTGACACAAATAGCCCCAAAAAATTGTTTTTTTCCAAAAATAGTACCTCATTTGAAAAGTTCCACAAATAGCACCATAAACTTCAATTAAACTTAATAAAAATATAAGATAGAAAATAAAAAAGAGAGCAAACACTAATCTAATATTAAATTGAATCAAAATTGTTTTTAAATAGTGGAAATATATACCCTAATTTGGAAATAGGGAACCCAAATATAATACCACAAACTAATATGAAAATAAAAATCTCTTTTAAATGGTGGAAATATATACCCTAAATTAAAATTAGGGAACTCAAATATAATACCATAAACTAATATTAAAATGACTCAAAATCTCTTTTAAATGGTGGAAATATATACCCTAAATTGGAAATAGATAACCCAAATATAATACTTTTAATTTATTTTGTTGAATAGCTTTTATATAAAAATTGTGGTATTATTGAAAAAAAAACTAGTGATAAAATTTTTAGAACAAAAACACTAATAGTAAATTAACTAGTGCTATTTTTGGAAGTTTATGGAGTGTGTGCTATTATTGTCAATAAAACTTGTTTTAGAGCTATTTTTAGGAATTTCTTGGGAGGTTGACACAAATAGCCCCAAAAAATTGTTTTATCTAGTGATAGTTGTCGGATGGTAAGATGACAATTTAGGAGGTACCAGCACGTTTGATACAATACATGTAGTTTGTATTAGTAAATTACACACACGTTACAAGCATATTTAGTATAGTATAATTGTGAAAAGCAATAGATTATCGACTGGCGCACGTATGGTTACATGGAATAGAGGGGTTTCAGGTACTTGTGCTCTTTGTCAGAATCATTTGGAAACTAGAGAACACCTTTTTTTCTCATGTCCGTACGGTTCTCGTGTTTGGGCAGCTCTTGCAAAAGGGCTACTAAAAGCTAGATTCACCACAGATTGGTCTCTTCTCCTAGAATACATCTCGGCTCAGCACCTAGATCGAGTGGAGGGATTCCTCATCAAATATGTTTTTCAAGCAGCAGTTTACGCGATTTGGAGAGAAAGGAATCAAAGGAGACATGGCGAAGATCCGCAGCCGGTGGAGAGACTCATACTATGGCTCGATAAACAAGTAAGGAACCAAATATCGTCAATTCGCATAAAGGGTGATATGCGATATGAGGCAGCCTACCAATCTTGGATCAAAGCTCGGAGTTAAATCGAAGTTTGTAGTTGGCAACGTTAAACCTTCTTTTAGCTTTCTTTTAGCTTATATTTTCTCAGCAATCTGATGCACAAGTTGTAAAAACGTTATATTTTTCTTTTGAATACTCCCTCCGTTTTCGAATAGTTGTCGTTTTAACTATATGCACACAAATTAAGAAACTATTAATGTTGTTAGTTTTTCAATATAAAAATATCATTAATTATCTACCTAAACATAATTTATCCAATAGTAAATCAAGTTGCATAATAAAAATAAATATAAAAAAATAAAAAAGTAATAAATTTTGCATCGAAAACTGAAAATGACAACTAATTAAAAACAAAAAAATTTCTCTAAAACGACAACTATTCGAAAACGGAGGGAGTATAATTTAAGATTACATTCAAAAAAAAAAAAAAAAAAAAAAAAAAAAAAAAGCAAATGACGTCACACTACATTGAATTTTGAGATTAATTGTATGTCAAAAATAAGACAAGATATGAGAGCTTTGAGTGTTTCAATCAAAACATTGATGTGTTTCCTACAATGTTCTTTACTCGGAGTAAGACGGATCGGTCGATGACTTGGTAAACTCGTTTATGTAGGACCTTCTCATATAAGTAAAATTCTTCGTAGGAGGCAAAGGCGGCACACAAGAACCCAAACCCTTCTTCAAGATCTCTGCAAGGATTAGTCTTTGCAACGTAATCACATCTTTGGTTTCTTGCCAAACGAATGCAAGAAGATCATTAGTGATCACGAAAAGGGAACCAGGTTTTGAACCGGGATAGCGGAATCCGTAACCTTCTGCGATACCGTTTCCCGAGTAAGAATTCTCAAAATCTGTTTCATCTGCATCCACCGGAAATGGCTCAAGGGAAGGTGTATCGATATTTACAATAAACATTGCAGTTCCATTGGGACGCTCCACATAGCGATTTCCTTCGAGTATTTTTGTCCCAATGAGAACTCTTTCGTTATACTCTTTAGATTCTTCATAAGTGAGCATCAGTAAGTAAAGAGCCTTTTCGGGCTTCTCTGTAGGAAATTTCCCAGCTGGCCAGCCAAACGTTCCTCCCCACAAACCGGCATACACTTCGTGATCGACGGCTTTCTTAACCGGTAGTTTATAAAGTGAAAAGTGATGCACGTACATGTATGGCCACCCTTCGTAAGAATCCAGCTCAGTGTAGGAAGCTTTGAGACTAAGACCGAATGTATCACCAGAGCTAAGAAAGCTTTTGCGATTCGAATGTCTAATCTCACTGCTCGAAGGTGCTGTGTTCTTTGAAGAACTAGACTCCCCTAAAACATTCGTGCTCTCCGTTGGTGTGACCTTTATCAGATCCTCTTCCATGTCAAAAAAAAAGTCATCCCTGAGATATTCCCACAACTCCTTTATGTCTACCTGCATAGGATTGTAACACAACTGATCATCCTCCTCCAAATTCATGTTCTTCCAATTTCCACCAAACTTGTGCATTTTAAGGAGCATGGTTCTGCGTTCAACCAACATTGCTTCATCATCTTTCAACGTGAGAAATAACTTTCCATTTAATGGTTCCACCACATGTAGACCTACATGGCTTGTCACAATATTGAGTAAGTTTTTTCTATCGCTAAAAGCGAGCTTGCAAAATGGAATCTCTTCCTCCTTTCTTGAGGTTCCTCTCTCAATCTCATTGCACAAAATCTTCTCTCGCCTCGGTTCAACTTCAAGTAGAAGCACATTGCAACTCTTCTCAATGCCCATAACGAAACCAGGGTACAAGCAACTACCTTCTTTGTCTCTTCCATGGAGGAAAAACCCGTTAGAGCCATCAGGACCGCATATTATCTCAAACACAGGTGACCACTTAACTCGGCCCTCCTGAATCCACAAAGGACCAACCTTTTGTGGAATTATCCGGCACCCAACAACAGACAAGAAACCAGGCATCACATAAACCACATTCCCAAGTTCAGGGTTCTCTTGAACCCAAATCCCAACAAGAGGCTTCACCACCTCTACAAGGAACCTACAAAGCACCTTGTAAGAAGAGATCCCGATTCGCCATTGGACTATTTCAAACAAAGGAATAACCTTTACGACTTCACATTGCACAAGCCATGTCTTCTCGGAATCGACAAGGGCACAAATACTTTTGCCGCACAAGATTAGATTGCAAATGTCGCTTGGAGAAAGAAAGCGAGAGATAACAGCAAAGACATCTTGGGGAAGCGTAA